CCATTAAGAGAAAGGAAAGATGACAATCATGATGCCGATAAACTATTGAGCCTTCTGGGTAATACAGGGGGAAACACTGGTGACTCTGCTGCACCTAAAGGTTTTCCTGTCAAAACATCCCACCATATTTTTTCTGTCCACAAAAAAGTAAAAATAACTTCATATGCAGGAATGCAGGAATGCCTCTCCTCAAAATTATGGTTAGGACATGTGGATCTACTGCTGCTAAAAACTGTCCCCAGTAGCAGGAACTATTAGTTCGTCCCTAACTATAAGAACGTTTTTAACCAACATATAGGAAATCTACCACCATAAAATATTAATATATATATATATATAGAGGGGGAGAAAGAGATTGATAGAGACCACCTTCAAATTATAGTTGTTTGTAAATATAAACTTTGATTCCCCACTTCACCTTGTTCGTAACAGATCAAATACTCAAGCATCTACTAGGCACTAGTTTTTTAGAACTGGCTTCTGTATTCATGTGAAAATCTATGTAGTTTTTTCCTTATTCAAAAAAGTATACAGCTTTGCTGTTTCCCATACAAAATGAGGAAAAAAAAACCAAGCAAGTTCATATTGCATCAGATATTTCATAACTTAAAATAAAAGAAAAACAAACTTACCAAGCGTTAATTTCTTATTTCCTTGCACAAAATCATTACCAGCTACATTCACCAGGGAGAAGCGAAGGTCCTTCCCAATCTTTATTACTTGGTTACAATTCTCAACTTTTTTAAATGGCATCTTAATAGGAGGTTTATTTGCCTGCTTCCAGTTAACTGATCCAGGTGCAACTTTGTCAAGAACTTCTAGGAGAACCCATCTGCATGCAACAATGATTAAAGTTGATGTAGAACAACGATGGACATTGTTGAGAGGGAAAAGGCTACTGACCCATTTCTAACATCTTCAAAAACATTGTTGACAAATGTTGGAATTCCAAGACTGTTAATCCACAGCCGGAAGCATCTCTCTTCCCGAGAAGTTTGTGCATCATCTGTCATCATTTCAGCAAATGACATCTTCTTGCTATCAACTGACAACCCATTCCTAAGAGAGAAATTCACACGCTGGTGAGACAGATCTCAACAATAAAAAAAAAAGGTGAAAATCCTGACATTTCAGATAACCAGAAATCAGTACAAGTCTGCATCTTCAACACTTACAAAAACCATCGAATAGTAAGTGTAAAAAATTTCAGGAAATTCACACAATTATAATGCATACGTTAACCGGGCATAAAAAAACCAATTGTGAAAAACAAACAGAAAATGAACATATGTTTATCAAACAGAACAATGGACATTGAACACCACTATTTTCAGAATGAGCAACCATCTTTTATGAAAGAAGAAAGAAAAACAATTTCCTTATATTTACGAAGCCAAGATCCACATTTTTTCATTGAAGAGGAAGCACGTACGAATTTCAACTGAATTGCCAGAACATGTCCGTTAGGTGAAAAGCAATTGAGTCAATTGTGAAATGTTAACCCATAAAGAGATTTTTGTACGGTCATCACCGAAAATGCAAGCCTTCTGAAAGAAAGAAGATTATGATCTACAAATGATTTAAATCTGGTATATATTCCCAATCCCAAGTCATATGCCCAAAGCAAAAGGTGTAAAGAATGAATGAAGTGATGTCCCAGAAAGAGCAATACGGTCACTAGATAACTTGAAAGATGCTATATATCAGTCATTTCATACACATGCTCTAATTCCATTGGATGGAAAAATATTCACATACTGCGTAAGTTTGCATAAAAGAAAACAAACAAAAAAAAAAACAAATTAGCTATGGTCAGTAAGGATATCAGCATCAACAAAGTTCTAGTACTGCAAATTGAATGGCATGACATGCATGCAAAGGTGAGAACCAAATGGAAATAACAAAGTTGGGTGCCTTCACGAATGAAGTACATCACATGAAATGAGCATTTCTCACCTTTGCTGAAATATTTGTGCAACAAATGCAAGGTTAAGATTTGCTGAACCCTCAACAATGTCCTTAGCAGATATGTATCTTTTGCAATCCAGTTTCTCTGCCTGCTCAAGAACCAAGTTTGCTCTTTCCGTAGGGTCTTTGGTATCCAAGGTGGTGTGGGTACTGATTTCTGGTGCAAGAGAATTAAGTAGGTATGCATAAGCCTCTCCATCCTACATAAAGAAAAAAAGACGGAAAATTCAAAATATAAAATATAAGTTTTATACGTATCAGCTGTCTAATGACTCATATGTGAGAGATGATAAATAAGGAATGTTTGATCTAATTATGTTCGACGAGACACTGCAAACATAGTGAAAAACTTTCGTTTCACAATTGCCTTTCCATTTCACTGAATTCAATGGCACAAAAGTAGGTCATTTACCTGCAGGAAAGCACTGGCAATGGTGATCGTTTTAATTTAAATTAACAAAATGTTTATGTTCCCAATTTTTTTCTTCATCAAGAGAAAAATCCACTTAAATTAAAGAAAAAAGGCTATATAACCCAAAATCCAAGTGCTAATAATAGATTTAAGAAAAATGCACTTCGTTGTAGACAAACAGATCTACGGTAAAACACTTGCTTGTAGAGAAAATAGCACACATCCTATCTGGGACATTTTTCTTCCTAATATTTCATGTGGTTTTGAAAGGAATAGAGACCAGAAGGTGATGTGCAGAGGAACTATTTTTGCTGTCTTATGGGCCGGCCTCAATGGCTAGATTCAGAGTGCAAGAATATCCGAGCTAGTGTTTCTATCATGGACACATGCTTTGGGCTATGGTGGTGTGTTTTCTTCTCTCCAGGCTAAGGCTCAATAATATTTTCAGGGCTACCTTTATCCAAGTTGCAGAAGGTTAGATTGACTTTCACTTGATGTTTCTTCTTTGTTTCATCCTTCTTTTTTTCTTTTCACAGGAGATATGTTATCCTCACCACCCTAATTTTAATAGTTTTCTCTCTTCTAATAATGTTTCTTCTTTCATCCCAAAAAATTGATCTTTCTTACCTTCACATCTGAAGAGAAGTTTGTGACCTGCTTCTCATACCCAGCCTTCTTCAAATGGAAATTCATCCACTTCAGCAATACCTTTTCAGGAGGTAAGTTCATGAGCTCTTCCACTTCCTGCAAAAAATTTTATGAGACAAGCAAAATTTCCATAATTTTTTCAGAAAAAAAAAACAGCAAATCATCTGCTCTTTAGTATCACTGGAACAAATAAAAGGAAGGAACGGCCATCAACATTTTCTAACCTTGCTGTCATCCACCAATTCCAGAAGCTGAGGAGTCTTCTTCAAGTTGAGGTCAGCGAGCAGTTGAATCTATAGTTTCCATCATATGAAAAACGGAAGACAATCAACATTGCAATTATTCTTTGTTCAAATGCCCAAGCCTTGAGTTACATTAAGTTATTACCATCAAAATGCATTCTATACATTAAATAAATATGAGAATATAAAGGAAGAAGTTTAAGATGAATACCTTAATAATTTGTGAAATCAATCCAAGCACTAGATGTGGCTGCAAGAACAAGTTAAATGAAACAAAGATAACCTTGAGTAACATTTAAACTGCACAGAAGATATAAACAGATGAGTCCAACTCCTAGATGGAAATACTCACTCTTCCTTCAACCAGGTCCTGTGTGCCAATGTTGACCACCGTGCAACCAATGGCCTTTGCTGAATTGAGACAAAGGGTATGGTTCTCATTCCTTTCCCAGGGGTTAAGGACCGCTTTTGTGTTGATAGCTCTTTCGTCTATGGTCCCAGGAACAGCCACATTGATCAACTTACTGCATGAAGCCAAAAGAAGAATCAATACAAGCAAAAACAGCTACAAACACTAATGGGTACAGATTTCTTGGAGGGTTAAGGACATATACCAAAGAAGAACTCCATCTTTAGCAAGATCAAATATGGCATTTGTAGCAGGATCTAATGGAAGATATTTCTTCAAGAACAGATCTTCTGCCAAGTAACTATTGATATGGGAAACATAAGAAGACTTCTCGGATTCATTAATAGCATGGTGAACGGTGGTTGTGGCTGCCTTTAGAAATGAGGAAGAACCTTTTGAACCCCCTGATTTTTTAACTGCTCGGGCTTGCACATTCAAAAATTCCTGCACAGCAACTCAAAAATTTTCTGTTCCATCCATCCAGTCAAGGACAAAAATTAATTGATCAATTACAAGCTATATCAGGATCAAATTCACCAAAGATTTTTTTTCCTCGGAAATGGAGATATATATATATATATATATATATATATATATAGAACCATGCATATCTAGCAGGGCTTGGTATCTGATACAAGCACTAATTGATGTCTTATTCAACTTTCTAATGAGACTTATAATTTCGTAGGCAAGGAAAAACATTACTTTTAAGACTGAAAACAAAAATTAAAAATAAGCAATGCAGCTACATTCTCTAGGCTCTAAAGGACTTACCTTAAGGAAGGATTCAAAATCAATTTCCTGGCTCATATCAGTATATGTCTCCCCGAGCATATCCTTGATCTCATCCTCAGTGAACATTTCACTTAAAGACTTCAATTTGGAAAAAAGAGGGGACAAGTCTCCTATTGTGACTCGACCGGATTGAGTCCTTGTGGATATGAACTAAAAACAATCAAACCCATCTCAAATTAGCAAAATATTGGAAAAAAATATGATCATGAAATTCTCTCTCAATGAAAGCAAAAGAGTAAGAAAACATCTTCACCTTCGATTTGAGGGTTCGTAGCTCGACCTGGGTGAATTGGCTCTGAAGCCATGGATCAGAAACAATCACCCCAACAAAACTAGACATTTTTCCTTTGCTTTTCTAAAATTCCAGACCACCTGGAAGATAATCGACTACACAAAAACACAGAAATACATACAATTACAGTTTCAACAAATAATTAATCAGGGAAGCCGATATCCAAACAGCAAGAATAATGCAAATTCAGATCCATGAAACCCAAAATGGAGAGAAACACAATTGAAGAAGGACGGAATATACGCAGACTAATATCCAATCGGAAGTTTTCTTACCACATTGAATAGAAATCAAATGCTAACGCTAAACCAATATGAAATGAAAAGAAAAGGCTAAAATACTTTGACCGAAAAGAGTAAGAACAAAATCCCAAATCAGGAAACCAAGTGTTAGAGAAAAAAAAAAAGGAGCAAGAACGAACCTGGATGAATCAGATAGAGGGGCGCTGAGACTGAAAGGATTTGTCGTTCATTTTGTCGAACATTGTTTTGCAGAGAAGAGAGAGAGAGAGATGTAGTATACGTTGTTTGTTCTAAATTTGTGTATTGGATAGAAAGTGATTAGCGGAGTAGGGAAGAGAGAAAAGCGTGTTGCCGAGAGGACCCGCGAAGACACAGGGAATGAAAGGAAACAGAGACTGAATACAGAGACCAAAAAGCCGAGGGAGAGAGAGAGAGAGAGAGAGAGAGGGAGGGAGAGATCTCATATAATATTCTCAGGATTTAAAAAAAAAAAAAAAAAGGGTTTTTGCGTACTATTGAACTACTACCTTCATTGATTCTCCAAAGGAATATCATGAGCCTTTTTTTCACATAATAAAATTTATTGATGACCATAAATAAAGGGTTAAGAAGATTCTTTTGTCCAATTTTATTTTCTTTTTTAATGCATTTTTCCCTTTTTCTTATAACATTTAATTGCTATTTTAGTACCCATTATTGGTTGATATGAAAATATCCATTTTATTACCATAAAAATAAATATTATATCCTAAAAAAATAATGTGGCAAATAGAGCCGGCGGTTGGTCGGTGATGTGGGTGGCGGTTCAAATGCCTTACACGTTCAAACAACCTTTATGTGCGTCGGACTGCTGTGAATTTAAAATTTTGGGAAACACATTTTTATTAGTTGAAGAAAACTTTAGGTCTAATTCTAAGGAATAAAATCCTAGCTTTCCTTCCTATATATACATATCATTTTATCTAGTGACAAAAATAATTTAATAGATATTGAAATTTTTTTATATACAAAATCATTAATAACATTTTCACTTTTCTTTATACTTGTATATCAAGAAATAGTATTTTTTTTTTAATTTTTTATAAAATATCATATTTTTATTTATGTTTGAAAATAATAAAAGAATTAATGGAACTATATATTATAATAATTAAAAGAAAATGTCTGATTTAGTTTGTCTAAATCCATAAGAATATTAATGATTAAAGTATGTTTTCTTAGTTTATTCTAAAAGGTTAGAGTTAAAATTTTAATTGTTGTAATTATTTTAACTAAAAAAAATATAATTATCACAAAATATTTATTTAGTTCGATAATATAATAATCTCATTAAGATTTAATATAATTTTAGTACTATAATATCACATATATACATTAGTGAATTACGTATTCGATTGTACTAAATCAAATATTGTAGTTGATTTACGTTTGTCTAATATATTTATAAAATGACGATCTTTATATAATGAATAAAATTTGAATCTGTAATTTTTAAATAAAATACTAATTCATGTAACTATGAATGTTAGTATTGAATGTTTATGACGAATTTTTTTTTTTTTTTTTTTCCATAAAGTTCTGAGTTGCACGTCAATGTACTAAAAAGAAAAGTTGGTATAAAGATATTGATTAATTAGATACATTGCATTTTAAACGTATTAATTATGTGTGAATATTAAAGAATAAACTTGATTTGTGAAATTTATTTGAAATCCTATACCCAAATTATCTGAAGAATAAATTAAGAATTTCATAAGAATATTTTAAATAAAACAACTTTCATGTATTATACCAAAATTTAAGTAGATATCGTAATATTTTAACAGATTGGAGGTAGCTTCGGTGGGGAGACCAAATTTCGTGAAGGGTGATGAAAGTAATGAGAAGTGGGCTTGGGTTGGCTGAAGAATAAAAATAGGCCTAAAGAAGGAACAAAAATATATTATGCGGAACGTGACATTATTATTATTATTATTTTTTAAAAAAAAAATGTATAAAATAATTTGAAGTAAAATTAAAATAGAGACTAAATTTTTTTATTTTTAAAAAAGAAAATAATAATACAATTAAAAAAGAAGTAATTTACCCATATTAATATGTAATAGACATGTTGTGTCATAAAAGAAAGGTGAGTTGAAGTGTTGCAGCATTGATGACATTCAGGCAGCGGGGTAAATAAAGTGCCTCTTTCTCGTGATCCAAAGGAATCTGCTGAAACACTAATTAATGTTCATACACTTCTCTTCTTTCCCAATTCATTTACTAAGAAATTATTATTATTATTATTATTTTACTTTATGTAATGGGGGTGTATTATAATAATAAGTTAGAATATTAATATTTATTGTATAGTACCCATTGGTTTGAGTATAAATTGTAGTGTTATGCATAATTCCTGTAGACTTTCTGGATAATATATTGTACATTAAATACAATTAATTCTTTTTTTTTTCTTAAAAAATATAATTAATTATTTTTGTTTCGAAAGTTTAAAAGTTTAGGATAATTAATATGTTGCTTGTTAAATAATTAATTAATATGAATATCTTGCAACATAATTTCTCTCTCTATCTTTTGTCCGTAAAAAAAAAAAAAAAAATGTAATTATCTACAGAGTAACATCATCAACATATTTCAAGCTTCATCTTCCTACTCCAATGCCGATATGATTTGTTGATTTGCAACACAGTTAAAAGGGATATGGAACAGACAAGCATATAGAGAAGACCAATTTCCCATGTACACACACATATATGTATATGTATGTTTAAAATATAATATAACCATGGATCAGGCAAAATGCCCATTTTAAATGAAATAGTAATTATAACACATAGCATTCTCATACACACAAAAAATGGTTTAATTTCAAATCAAAAGCAAATGAAATAAATTCGGATATACCCCTCCCTCTTAACATAACTTAAACAGCCATCAGTCCCTTAGAACAGCAGCAACAGACCAGCTGAAATGGCCAAAAACATTTTACTCCAAGAGCCAAGATTGATGATCCTATGTGCTGAGTTCGAAGGTGAAGATTTTGGAGCAGCCCCACCTTCACTCGAGTCAGCTGATGGCGAATCGGCGGATGGAGCAATAGTCTCAGGAGCCGGAGCAGGAGCTGGCATTGGAGGGATATCAGTACCAAAAATTGCCTCAGGAAGAAGGACTCTATCAACTTGGTAGACAGCCACAGGATCAGTTGAATGTACACTGCTGCTAATTTTGGTTCTGGTCCATCCTGAATCAAGACGGACAGTGCCTGAAACATCAGTGAAGTTTAATGTGTACTGTCCACCTGCAAATGTGTTGACAGGGCCTGTCTTGCTAAGGTTTCTGAAGTCAGCCAGAGCGTAGTAGTGGGGAAGGCCGTGGAAGAGGAGTAATGACTTAAGCTGGTCATCGGTTAGGTTGGCTAGAGAAGGCTTCTTAAGAGACTTGAAAGCATCATCCTTGGGGACGAAAATGGTGACGCCTTGTTGGGTGTTGTTTGCTTGGTTTTGGAAGGTTTCAATGACTTTGGTGGAGACAAGGTAGTTCAGGAAGGTTTCAAATGGGCCAGCAACGCTGAGTAGATCGGTGAGGTTTACAAAATCTGGTGCTGGTGCAGGAGCTGGAGTTGGGGTGAGGATCGGGGAGGGAGGATTGGCAGCCTGTGCATGTGCTGATGAAGAGCAAAATAGCAAAACTGTGCAGCAAATGATAAAAAGCTTTGCAAATGCCATTTTTTCAATTACAACTCTCCAAATTCCTGCACCAACAAAACCCCATTATCAATTATATCAGCTTCTCAGCAGAAAATCTTTGGCAATTGTCTAAGTAGTTAGCAGAGAAGCTAATTTTGAAATTTCCCCCAATTTCTCAGTCCAAAGAAATGTCTCAAAGTAATCATCTTTTATTTACCCAAAAGTCCTCTTTCCTCTAAAGAAATCTCATCCACCACTGTTCTCTTAGAACCAAAAAATTCAAGAGCAGCGTTTGCATAGCAATATATTAAAACCCCAAAACTGCATTTGGATAAAGAGAGACCAAAAATCATAGACCAGCATTTGCATAACAATAGACCAAAAATCAGATCTTGATTAGCTCAGTTCAAAAAGATGAAGAGCAAACACAATTGTGCCATGTAACATACGGTAAATCTAAATGCAAAAGTGACTCTTAACACTAACTACATTCAAAGTTCAAAACCTTGTTGGTTTAAAAACGTTTTTAGCCATACCAGGACTTTCAACATCTTCAAATGATCAACTCCAACAACAAATCTCATATCAACAACCCATCCCAATGTACACAAAACTAAGTCTCTGCAATTTGTTGCCTTCTCATTACGTCTTTCATACACTAGAAGTTTTCCTATAGGATCCCAGTCAACAAATTCACTTACGGACAAAGCCAAAAGAAAAAGACAAAAAAAGAAGCTACAGCCACGAAAACCACATCATGCCCTTGAGAAAAAAGAAGAAGAAGAAGAAGAAAAACTCAGATCTAGATCAGCAATTCATGTCATTCAAGAAGAAGAGTAGCCACGGTAGTTGCTGAATATACACACCCAGTAACCCAAAAGATCAAAACAAGAACAATCAAATCATCAAAGTGGTACTTTCACAATGTAGTACACCAAAAGCAGAAGGAGGGGGGGGGGGGGGGTAGAGACCGGAAAACACTAACCTGACCAAGAGGAATTCAGAGAGAAATGGTGGGGATGAATGATATATGAGTATGCAGAATGGGTGTGAGACTATATAAAGATGTTGTTATTAGTAAAACAAAAGAAAACTAGAAGGAAGTGGGTTGTGGCACCAGCTGGTGATGGATGGATATAAAGGTAAAGCAAAAATAAATAATAATAAAAACAAAAATAGGAAAAAGTAATACACAGAAGTTACATTAGTATATCATAATACACTATACTTAGAGGGATGTGATGAATACTAGTTACTAATTCTGATATTTGTATTTTCTTGGAGGAAAAAATGTATTTTTTATTGGGAAAAAAATTAAAAGGTTGGAACTTTTGAAAGGAAAAAAGACCGTGTAAGGTGGGATTTCTTAATCATCTCTCAACTTATTACTTTTTTAATAATCCTTGAGACACCAACCCTTGCGCTTTACCCCATCATTTTAAATTTTCTTTTCTTCTAATTTTCTCCTTTACCCCATCTTAATTTCTCATAATTTACATTACCCACACCGCCAGGATTGCCCTAACCTAACATGGGTTTTACCAATTATGTATCTTCTCAAATTGATTATCTTTTGTTCACTAACCTAACATGGGTTTTGTTAACTTACTGATTTTTTGTTCTGTGATCTTAAATAAGAGGAAAAAAGAATTGGATTTGGAGTTTTTAATTTAAAAAAGTTGGGGATTTTTTTGGGATAATATAATATTTGGAACCAGAACCAATTAATGCTGGTAATTGTGGTTCGCGTAAAACGACAAGAAGGAATCATCTTAAAGAGAAAAACAGTGTAGTGTATCCCCATGGGATTAGCTATTTTGGTATTAATTAATTAAATAGGGGGCCGGAAATGGAAAAAAAATGAAAATAAGGGGGGGGGGAATAAATTGAAGTAAGGTGGGCTGAGGTGGCAAGGGGCCCACATGGGATTTGGGCCAACCAGCGATGACTGTCGGGTTGTTGCTGCAACTAGAAGCCGATGCCAACTGTTTTTTCACATACCATCAGCGAATACGCGCGACCGTCGTTTCATCATTCTACGACGTAAACGACACCGTATCCTAGCGGCTCACACTGGCCGACCGACACTGCAGTGTATATTTTTTTTTGGTGTAAATAAAATGAGATGAATTATTATTATAAATTTCTGAATTGACTTTTTATTTTCTATAATTTGATTAAATATATATATATATATATATATTTGGACTGTCACGTTGTGGAAAAGAAATGAAAACCATGTGCTAAGAGTTGGAGAATTTTGTTCAACTGTAGTCCAATATAATAAAAAATAAAAGAAATTAACCGGCAAACCAAATAAAAATTATTAAGCCATTAATAATTAATATAATATATTAATCTTATTTCTACATAATAAAAATAAAAATATTCTAAAACATTAATATAAATTTGAATGAAAATTTCATATCTAATTCAAATAAAGTGTTTCTTAAATTTCAAAATTGAGAAATACAAATATAAGTTCATCATTGTAAAATTGAAAGTAAGAATAAAATTGATTTAATTATATATTAAATAATAAATTATAACTACTTTTTTCATAATATATAATTATACAATTTTTTTTAAAAAAATAAATAATTATATATTAACTATGTAAATTGTGACTAGATTTTTCATAATATCTAATCAAGACATAAGAATTCAATGGTTCTTATTTTTATAAGATTATGATAACAAATTCACTTAGAGCACATAATTATGTCTCAAATCAAACAGTTATAGTGGATGATAACTAATCTTGCCTTTGATTTAAGCATAATCTATTCAATTTTTAATTCTTAAATTTAGTTATTTGCAATTAGAACACATTTAATTTATAATTAACAAAACTTCTTTTATATCTTTAATTTTAGATTATTATTATTTTATTCCTTCCTACAAAAAAAATACTTAATTTGAATTACATATGAAAATAACTTGAAACTAAAAATTGTTCTATTTTAAATTATTATTGTATTTATTTTGTATTCTTATTGTTATTTAATAGAATTAGAATTTTAACTAAAGTCAACAGCTTAATCACCTATTGGAAAATTTTAAATCATACAAGTTGATTTCTTCTCATTTTTCTATTGGCAATACATATCTGATTACTGAATAATCTTAGAGAACACACTAAATCAATCAAATGGGTTGATTATGTCAATATTAAAAGAAGAAAATCAGACCCATTTTTCCAGCCATCCTCTACTCAGTCAATTAGGTTGGTTGATTTCAGCTCAAAGATAATCCAATTAGGTTAGCAAGAACTGAATAGAGCTTTGAGAATGGTAGCTTCAGGTTGGAATGTTACAAGAGAAACCAATCGATGAAGACAGAAAGACTTCAGAGGGAAAAACAAAAGATTGCAAGAGCAGAGTGTAGTAAGGATGTTGTTTCAGCTAACTTTGCTTTTAGCTACTAAGGATATTCATAGAAATAGGTACAATCATGGGAGAAAAAATCAATCTCATTAACCAAATGTTTCTTTTGATATCTGAACAGACCTACCACACCCGCTCGTTTACAACCTAAAAAAATGAATGATGCTGAGCCTGCTGTAACTATTGGGGGGAGTCCGGTCCTGTCTGCGTCCATGCAGATCTGAAACTCAGAACAAAATTAGCACAGGCCAAGCCATTCTTTTATTATGGGCATCACTAAAAGAATTTTTTCTCTTTCTATGTGGTTATAGGAACTTGCCATTTCCCATGAAAAGCAATCAAGTGGTTAAGAAAATGGTGAAAGTAATAAATTAAATATGTCTCAAGACAACATTCAACTGATTATGGCGTAAGTGCATCAAGTGAATGAGGGAATATGATAGAGGATGCAGAAACATTGATTTAAGTCGCAACCCATTCTTTGCGGATGTCGAATGTGTAGTTGATCTCCAAGTAGCACTTGTTATCATCATCCAGAAACTGAAAGGAGCAAAACAGAAAGACAAATCATATTAACAAACATACCACAACAGTAAAAGCCAAGTGATGTTAGGGTTGCGATGTTTAAGTTTGTCATTGGCTGAGATAGAAACAGGTTCATTTGCTGAAAGTAAAGATTGCCAAAAAATTCAAAAATAACAGGATGCAGTTGAGTTAGATTCTTGGCCATAAATGCCATTTTAACCTTCGGAAACTACATATTTGATCTTAAAAGCCTAAAGATTTGGTTACAACTTTTGACATCAATTGAAATGTAAAAGTAGGTTACATTATTGTTATCTGATACATTGAAAAATCTGAAGATCTGACCATCACTTTTTCCATCTAATATTCTGTACACCAGGAATCACAAACAACCCTAGTTTTTGTCAAATCTGGCAGGTGACAGGGCCCTCCAGTTAATCTGTGCTTCAAGGAAGGATAGCCTATAGTTTCACTTAAAGACCAACTTCTCAGGTGATTTCTTCCTTGGGCACTCCCAAGGCTCAGAGATACTAGCCATAAACCTCCATGCTAGCAAACCCATGTCCCCCACTTTTGCAAGTAATGGCTCTGTGCCTAACACTAGGCAGACAGGCAACAAACACTTTTCTGAATCAAGTTCTCTAGATTACTTCTACTTCAGTTTTAATTGAAATAAGGCTTATTGCATTTGAGCATTTTAACATGGAAGTTATCATAGCAAATGAAGTTTTCCAAAATGGATTAAATTCCCAATCAGGATCCATTGAACCACACTTTATCAACACTTAACCTGCTAGAAACCACCACAAGAAAAAGCAAGCATGTGTATTTCACAAGAAAAAGCCAGCTAACCATTCTTCACAAATGAAAGAAAATTTTTTAAACAAATATACAGCAGCATCCTTAACCTATAAACTCAGCAGTCAGCGCTATTGAAGGATTAATTTCACTTGTGTAATCAGAATTTCAATCAGTGGTTACCCAACTGGGATCTTATATTTACATCATCGGTTAAAGTTTTCCAAACATTATGCTAGAGGACTATAACTGAAACAAAGGAAAATTCCATTTGGTGAACTAACCTTTGATCTTGCAGTATATGACCCTCGAGCAAACATGCCAGATGGAGTGGTTTCCTCCGGCATGACATGCGTGTAAGTTTCCAGCTGAGGACTGAATGTACCAAGCATCTCTTTTGTACTGTCCACTGAAATGTGATTCATTCTGAGCAAAATTTTTCAATGTTTTAAACCTAAAAACTAAGGCATGAATTAGGACATAGATGGCTTACCTCTGATGCCAGTTTTCCAAACAGTGTTGGTGTACCTAAGCCCGGATACAATGTTATTGCTGACTTGGAAAGTGAACTTCAAGCTGTATTTGCTACCTTCTTTCAACGTAAACCACAAGCCCTTGGGGTCTCCTTCTTCAGGAATTTGAAGAACAATTTCAGGTCTACCAGTAGAAACAATTGAAAGACTGAGCATCTTAACTTCAGGTTCAAGAGTTTCTGCATTAAGAAACAGAGAAGGAAAATCTGAACTTGTTAAAAGAATGAAATTAGGTAAGCTAGCCTTCCTTTTATAAGAAATGCCAAAAACTAAACTCTATTTGGTCTAATGATATGGGTAGAAACACTGCTCAAAAAACTAATTAGAAAAATGCATGAAATCATGGGTCTGGTGACTGATACCTGGGAAGTTAGCTGAGTATAAAAAACATCAGTGTCTTGAAATTATTGTCATTATCTTTCATGAAACATGATGAAGACAGTTCAACATAAAGCTAATGTTTTCTCAATTAGTAAAAGTTAATCATGCAATAACTTGGATTTTAGTGATAGGAGAATACTAGACTGGAAAGTAAGTCCTATATAAGAAAATTTTCAGCTCTGGAATGTTAATCAAGGTAAGAGAAGAATCCTATGCTTTTGTCTTCCATAAACTCAGTTTATGATGGGGTTACAACATTAGAAGATGGATAAGATGTTTAAACAACTTCCAGTTTTCAATTATAGCATGCATTCTCTTAAAAGGCTAAACATATTTATGATAATTATTTAAGTTTTGCAAATGTGAAGAACCCACAACGTTAAACTCACTGTCCGGTGTTAAGGAGACAGGCACTATAGACCCAGGGGGGGCCAGGCCCAATAGAGGGATAATCATTGAAGTATTTGATGGGGGCAGATATCATAAACTGTTTGAGAAAAGAAAACCTGGTGCATCCACTTCTAAGTCTTCTGAACAAAAACGTAGAACATACCGAAGATGATTATTCTATCGTATATCACATTTTACAAGTACTGCAAAAATTCACAATGGAAGTAGAAAAATCCAGCATCAAAATTTGATCGAAACTCTTGTATTTCATTGCTTTAAAAAGAAATGCAGAGGGAAGAGAGAAAAACCATATCTCTGTTCAAGTAACTGCATTTAGAAAGGAAAAGAAAAGGAAAAATCCATAGCAAAAATAATATGTCAAGTATGAATCTGAAGGCCTAGAAAAAGATTTCTTCATGAAGACATAATCAAAATGCAAGAAAAAATTTTGAACTTCTGAATCACCCTTGACATTATCGCAAATGACAAAGAACATTAACGATCGAAAGATGAATACCCAATTGAGAAAATAAAAACTTTGGGTGAAAGAGCATTTTTACCTCCAATATTATTAATGTCGACACTTCCTAGGAGCTGTTCCTTCCACTTCCTGAGGCTCTCATCATCCTACACTTGCAAAAATACCAAGACAAACATCACTAAAAGAATGAAATATAAATTGATAAATGAAAAAAAAAAAGAGGAAAGAAATGGGGG